CAAAAACGGTGACACTTTTACCTGAAAATTTTTTGTTTATCAGTGAGTTCACCCCCCCACCTACCTTCCCCTAAAGTTTGGCACGTTACTTCTGGGACACCCTGTATATTTACTAAATACTCCTGCACTGTGCTTTTTAGTATGTACATTTGTATTTTGTATCTAATATAAATGTTTTTCTGTGTTTGCATTTTAGATTTTCCTGAGTCTATTCCTGCCATAGATGATTTGAAAATTTGTATGGAAAAGATAGATATGAAAAAGCATTTCATCCAAACGCTTACTAACACGCTAAAAGTACGAGTACTTCATCCTGGTGTAAATACTATGGATATTTTAACAGGATATATTGCAGCTATCAAAGCAATAAGATATCTCGATAACAGTGGAATTATATTGGAAACTGTGACGGCGCCAATCAGAGACTATCTTCGAAAACGCAGTGATACAGTTCGTCGAGTAGTTACGGGACTTACTGAAGAAGGCCCTACAGACCTTACGGAGGAATTAGCTAAAAGTGAAGCTTTAAAAGAAAATGAAAAGCTTGATGTCAATGAGGAATTGAGCAATTGGGAAAATTGGTTGCCAGACTCGTATGGAATTGATCAGACAACGCGTATTAAACTTACGAATGTCAACCGTTCAGCAGATATAATATCTATGGTAGTTGATATATATGGTAGCAAGGAGTTGTTCATGAACGAGTATCGCAATTTAATGGCAGATCGTTTACTTACTTATTTGGATTTTAACGCCGACAAGGAAATCCGAAATTTAGAATTGCTCAAACTCAGATTCGGAGATTCTTTACTTCATAGTTGTGAAGTTATGCTGAAAGATCTCACCGACTCAAAGCGCATAAATTCGCATATATCAAGCGATTCTAAGTATAACGAAAGTGAGTGTTTGATTTAAATTATAAAAGCCTTTTATTTTTCAATTTCTTAGATGCATATTTAATTATATTATTATCATATCATATCGTATCATATTTAATTATCCAAAAATGGTTTAGAATGATTTTGACCTGTGACGCTTGGCTATCCTTCATATGTAAGAGTCGCCCCGTTTGAATACAAAGTGAGATGTTTAGTCCATCCGCTGAGGACAATCGAGCATAGATTTTGAGCGATATAAGTATTATGCTGTATTTCCACTAGGCATTAAATGCCAAAAATAATAAATGACAAAATTGGGCATTAAAAAATATTCGTGTCATTACGTTAAAAAAAAATTGTCATTATGTTCATTTCCACATGGCATTTTTTTAAATGGCATATATTATTTGTCATTTCTGTGCCTAGTAGAAATTCGGCATTAAACATGATTTTTTGGTTAGTTTTGGATAAAGTGGTGCCGTCGAAAATTTCAAATCAATTTCAATTATGCAGTACTCAGGCGAACTAGGCCCTTTTCACTTCTGATAAACGTAAGAAAGTACATGTATTTTGATGTAGCGATACTGGTATCGGGTCAGTTTCTTTCGGTCATAAGTGAAATTATGAAATGGGCTCTAAAGACGGTAGATTCCTGAGCCATAAACTGTTATCTTCTGTTAAAATTAAACAGTCCTACAGACCTAACGGAGGAATTAGCTACAAGTGAAGCCTTTATAGAAAATGAAAAGCTTGATGTCAATGAGGAATTGAGCAATTGGGAAAATTGGTTGCCAGACTCGTATGGAATTGATCAGACAACGCGTATTAAATTTACGAATGTCAACCGTTCAGCAGATATAATATCTATGGTAGTTGATATATGAGTAGTCCACATGCAAAGTGCTCTATTTAACATTATTTCGATTTTTATTTTTTGGTGGTTAACGTGGCAGTTTTTAAAGTAGTTTCATGTCCACTAACAATACAGTGCAAAATCCTTATATATTCTGAAAAAATAGCATCAAATGTTAGCTACTCTAGCAAAAGCCGCTATAATACTTACTGTATAGGGTATTCTCGAAGTCTTGCATGATGCACGGATTGCACGAAATGCAAAAATACTATTCCAAATTTCGAAGAGTACGAGAGCACCCCATTGCAAAGTGGTAGAATGCATGGGTAGAAAGCAGCGAAATTATGTTCAAATACAATAACAAGAGACAGCAAAACAAAAATGAATTGAGCGAGATGAGGGGAATGAGAGAAATCTGTAGCAATTCCAACAACAAAACAACTAGCACAGGGTTGATTTTTGCTCTGCTGTTTTGCAAAATATATACATGGGTTTCGACGTTGCATATTTTGCAGCGATAGGAAATGTTTTTTCCCTTGTATTTTGTTGTTGTGTGTTTGCAAGTTATGCAATCCATGCTACGTGCAATGGCTTTGCAAGATTTGTAGAATACCCCTTATGTATATATACACTTTCAAAAGCCGCTATAATATATATTGTACGTATGTATTTATACAAGTTCAAAAGTCTCCATCTTCTGATGAACTTAGAAAACTGCAAGAACACGTGGTTGTTTCGGTGCCTAGTGGAAGACGTCGTAAAAAAGAAGCAGACCAATCTTCATGGAAGAGAGAACGCGAAAAGCTAAAAAAAGCTAGCTATGTAAAAGTTACTGTTTCAAAACTCGCTATATTCATTTTTTATATATAAAATTTGCAAAACCAACAATACTTCGAACTTGTTTTTTAATGTTATTAGGCTCTTATTTATCCAAATTTTCAGATAATAAAGAAAAAAGATACAATTTGGATTTTACTTGCTGTTGTAGACGTTTTTTGAAATTTATTAAGCCATAAATATCAAATCATATAACGCTGTTTGCAAGTGGACTACTCATATATGGTAGCAAGGAGTTGTTCATAAATGAGTATCGCAATTTAATGGCAGCTCGTTTACTTACTTATTATGCTGGATGGAAATGACAAAGTTGGGCATTACAAAATATTCGTGTCATTACGTTGAAAAAATTTGTCATTATGTTCATTTCCACATGGCATTTTTTTAAATGGCATTGTTTGTCATTTCAATGTCTAGTGGAAATTCGGCATTAAACATGATTTTCTATGTTTTTTGGTTAGTTTTGCATAAGGTGGTGCCGTCGAAAATTTCAAATCAATTTCAATTATGCAACACTCTGGCGAATTAGGCCCTTTTCACTTCTGATATCTGCCATTTCGGACTATACGAAGTCTTATAGCAGCATCGGACGATAACGTAAGAACGTACATTTATTTTGGGTTTACGCCGACGATATAGCGATACTGGTATCGGGCCAGTTTCTTTCAGTTATAAGTGAAATTATGAACTGTTCTATTCTGTACAAATTAAACAAAATTTGCTAAACCAAGGTTCCGATCTTGATCTGTCAAATAAGGTGAAATACCTAGGAGCTATTCTGGATTCCAAACTTAACTGAAAAAAAACATGGAAGAGGTTTCAAGGAAGGCCACGGTGCATCTCTATGCAGCCAAGAGAATGTTGGACAACAGATGGGGTACACAGCTACACTTCGACCTATGTATAATCTCTAACGGGGCGCTGATCTGGTGGCCAGCCCTTACTAAGGATTACGTAGTTAAAAAGCTAAGCGGAATTCAAAGGTCAGCAGCCGCTAACGTAACAAGTGCAATTAGACCCCGTCAGAAGGTTGTTTTGAACGTCCTTCTTGACTTATTACTCACAGATATATTTATCAAAAACTCAGCTGCTAGCAGCACCATTAGACTGCGTGCCCTGGGGTTCTGGAAGGAAGGACCGTTCGGCACGGTTTCATCCTAGACGCACTACCCTCTGAAAGGAAAGCGGTGCTCATCGATTATATCCTGTTGTTGTTGTTGTAGCGGCTACAACAACCCCGTCCAGATCGGTTAATGTCTCAGTCATTGTCGTCAAGCTCAACTAACAGAAGCCCCAAGAAGTGTGCAGCCTCAATGGGGTCGGTCCACAGGGACAAAAGCGTTAGCTGTATCGGGTTTTCCGGGCATACAAAGAGATGTTTCCATTCTCGGGGTGACTCGCCGCATGCCGGACACTCATTTGGCACATCTGCGTCTAATCTGCTCAGGTGTGAGTTTAACCTGCTGCAGTAGCCAGAGCGAAGTTGGGCTCTTGTGGTTCTGGTCTCCCGAGGCAGATGAAGCTCCGCCTCGTCGATGTCAGGTGGTTGTTTGCATAGAACGGCATTCACAGGTCTGGAGTCGGGCCTGTGGGTAAGCTGACGGGTCCAGAGGTTACTTAATGAACCTCTGGACTGCGTCCGTCAGCTCGTAAAGAGCCTTCTGACATGCCTTGGCGGGGGCTCCTCTGCAAGCAAGTGTCTGTTGGGTGTCTACGTCTGTGGTTCCCTACTAGAAATTGCTTGCAGAGCATTGTGTTGTGCTCCTTTATGGGGAACAGTTTCGCCTCGTCATGCAGGTGGTGTTCTGGCGACATCAGAAGACATCCAGCTGCTGTCCGAATTGCAGTGTTTTGAGTTGCCTGCAGCTTCATCCACTGCGTCCTACTAGTCCCCGGCGACCACATTGGTGCTGCGTGCACAGAGAAGGAGAGCAGACTGTCGAAGGTTAATCCGAGTATTTTGGGGTTATTCCCCGTCGGAATTGATGTATCATCGACGTGAATTCCCAGCGGTAGTCTGACTTCGTTCGTCCAGGTGGTGAACAAGGTCGCAGAGGATTTTGTAGGTTAGAGCGTTAGGCTCCTAGCAACGAAGAAGGGAGAAAGCTTGGACAGATATCCGTTTACTTTCGAGTACAAGTAGGGACACGATATCGAACCGAAAGTATCGATATGGTACTCATTTAAAGTATCGCTATAAAAATATCGGGTACCCATTAATATCGGAATAAAAAGACTCGATATTCCAAATATCGATACTAAAATCCAAAAAATTTATCTGAATATAGGTTTCGTATATAGGCCGTTTGGGTGTAGTGGTTAGAAGTGCGCAAACCTTGAAAACGAAAAAGACCTTTCAGAGTCGACATAAAACTATAGGCACCCCCTTTGTGCCACAACATTAAGGCCCACGCGACAAATCGGAGGAGAAGTTCGGCCAAACACTAAAGGGCCATTCACATACAACTTTCCTCGATTTTGCCCAAGATTTTGCTTCGTTTTGCTTTGCTTTGCTTCAAACGTTTTTTATGTGAGCATACTCATGTATATGCCTACATCGATCTTATTTGTCAAAGCAAAGAACTATCAAGCAAAGCGAAGAAAGTTGTATGTGAATCAGCCTTAACATATTGTGTAAGCGCCGGACTTTATTATTATTACAACACGTAGAGATTGAGGTGCTGACTTAAACACCGAAGCCGCGGGTTCAAATCCCACCACATGCAATCCTAACTATAGTACAAATTTCTGCAGTTTAAAGCCCAATAAAATCCGGTAATATTAGGTTCACTGAGAAAAAAACGCATTATTAGAATAAAATTTTTTTATTTGATTACCGTTTAAAAATGTTCGCATTTAAATCAAGTGAAAAGTTTTAACAAAATGGATTTTTCCATTATACATACACTACGTACATACAATGGAAATATTCAATTCAAATACTACCGTATTAAAATGAAGCATTTTTCACGACACGGATGGCGTTTTGTACGTCTCGGATGCTTTTTCATATGAAATTAAGAAAGTATATGTATACAAAGCATGCACAGCGGTGACAACACATACACACATACATGGTATGACATAATGCACTAATCGCGGGCTGTGTTGTTGATTCAAACACTTTTACATGTATGGCTGTAGTTTAGCGTGCAAAGACGCTTGATACAATTAGTTGCGGCCAAGAGGGTCCGGGTTCAATTCCCATCAGACGGAACATAAAATTAATTTTTTTTCTTCTTAATTACGAAAAAGCATCTGTGCACTTCACAACCACATATTTTATAACGTATATACTCAAATTTAAAACGGGTTGGGTTGGTGCTCTTT